TGTGTAGAGTCTAGTGTCAGACACACAGGATTAAAACTCTGCCTATCTACTACAATCAGTCATTTCAGATGACCTATTACATATCCATGATGCCAGGTTTTGCACAAAGTGTGTTCATTAAATATTAGCTATTACTGTAGGGCCATTACTTTTAAAATAGGGAGATCAAAAGTGTCATTGTGTGTGCTTGCTAACTGATCCAAAAAGCAAATTCTTAAAAAAAAAAAATCTTATTGAAAACCAGCATGGAATTTCATGTATTATCAACGTGCATGACTAAAGTCCTCTGAGTGTCCTAGATATTAAGATTTACTCAAATTTTCTATTCATAAACTCAGTGTGCCCCAGATCACTTGGGATGAATGGTCAGTTTTGTACTGAGAAGTCTCATGCCGTGCAGCTCTGACAGCTCGTGTGCACATGCAGAGAGAAATCCCGCTGGCAAGGAAGCCTTGTGTACACTGTTGCTTTGAGTTGCTCTAGGATTCAACTGCTGCTAATCATGCTGTTAATTACAATTTCTTTTTAGATTACCTTTCTCATGATCAATTTAGTTTGTTGTGGATGGTTTTCTTATCCAATGGTGTGTATGAATACTTTCATCAATAATATTTTTAGGCTCCACCTTTCTAATAACTAATTGGAAGCATGTGCACACTGTGATTCAGAAGTGTATCTTTCAGAAGTCTATTAATTATGCAGTCTCATCTCATTGCTAATTTCTGTTAATAAACTAAGATGGAAATGTCTGAGTAATGATTTGCCTTGCCTTTGTTGACTGAGGTAAAAAAAAATTTGAGCTATTGATTTAGGACAGAAGGGAGAGGACTTGGTGAGTGAAAGAATGTGGGAATGTGAGGAAACAAGAGTCAAAGATGTAAGCTGTAAGGGCACAACTAGAAGTAAAGCTCTTTTAGGGTACTATATTAATTACCCATTGCTGTGTAACAAATTACCACAAAATTTAGTGGCTTAAAATAACACACATTTATTCTCTCACTGTGTGGGGGTCAGGAACCCAGATATGAGTTAGCTTAGTCCTCTGCTGGAGGATCTCTCACAAAGCTGCAATGAACGTGTTTGCCAGGGCTGTGGTCTCATGTGAAGACTCAATTGGGGAAGTTTCTGCTCCCAAGCTTCTGTGGTTGTTGGCAGGATTTAGGTCCTTAAGAGTTGTTGGACTTAGGACCTCAGTTTCTTGCTTGCTGTTGGCTGGAAGCTGCCTTCAGATCGTTGTCAAATGGGCCTCTCCATCCAGCAACATGGCATCTTGCCTGACCAGAGGAAACAGATGAGGAAAGGCAGAAAGACAGAGAGAGGCAAAAAGTTGAAAGCTACAATCTTTTATAACCTAATCTTGTAAGTGACATTCCATCATTTTGTGATATTCTCTTCATTAAAGGCAAGTCACGAGGTCCAGGCCACAGTCAAGGGGAGAGGATTACACAAGGTGATACATACCAGGAGGGAGGGATCATTGGGGGCCATTAGAGAAAAAGCATGCCACGGACATCATCATGTCATTCTTGTTTTATGTCCCTTAACCATTTTATAGGACAGTGCCAAGTACATTGTAGTGTTCAATATATTCCTGCAGAGTTGAACTAATTTGTTATGAAACTTTGTGTCATAAATATGAGCTATATTTTATCAAACACATGAATAATTCAGAATTTTCTGGTCTTCCAGAATAACTTCCTAAGTCACAGTACATGTCAATGTAAAAAGAATGCAAACCTAATCCAGGTTATGACTAGCTGGGTGAACTCTCATTTGTGCTTTTCAGCTCATAGGCAGAAATGAATATTTGGGTTATACCCAGTTAGATTTCTTTCTTTTTCCCCCATGGAGATTTGAACCTTTGTACATATCCTTAACTTAGATCTGCAAGCAAGTACTATATCAAAAGTATACCTATTATATCTTTTTTCATTAAAGTATAACTTACCTCCACCCTCCCAGCTTTTGTCATTTTAACCAGATTCTTTTCAGTTCATCAGGTTTATTTCTTTTCGCCCTATTTAAAGACCTGTTTGGAGCTTTAGGTAACACACGTCATTGCATGCCCCTGTGTTGGCTTACTTGTCAAGCCACATTGAAAATATAGCTCTCAGTTCTTTCTAGAATAGAGGCTTAAGGAGAAAAAAAATATAAACTCAATTTACACTTGCTTTGCTTTGTGACATTTACCGGACCATTTTAGTTCCCTTCATTCAACATATGTGAATCCTTTACTATAGAGAACACCTTTGATTCTTTATCACCTGCGATAAAGCACAGGGCAAAATCCAACGCAGAAATGAATAATCAGCACAAAAATTGGAAACAATAAATATTATTTCATTTTACTTTGCTTACATTTATGAATGGATATACAAACCTCAGAAACATAAAAGCAAATATCAGAACATATATATCCTCCTTTACAATTTGAGAAGAGTAAAAATGACTTTACTTTTTCCTAAGAGTAAGTTCTCTGCTGTGCTAGAACCTGCTGAAAGGATGTTTTTCTTTTGAATGTTTTATTTGAGAGAGAGAAGAAGCACATTTTATTACCCCCAAAGACTTAGAGTAAAAGAAATGGTATCACTAAGCAAAAAACAAATTAACTGAATACCATACCAATTCCAAAGAGCATTTTACAAGTTGAAGAGGGTACAGTACCAATTATACTATTATCTCACCCTACTCTCCGGGTGAATAGTCTGAAAGCCTAAAATTACGGTTGATGTTAGATTTCTTGGCTTCGTTTGCAAATGGGAGTCATTTTCTTTTTTTATGAATGCCATAAACACATGTTATATTGTTTGAGAGTAGCAGTCCTTAGTTTGTTATGATATTTTTCTCCTTTTTGTCCCCGATGTCAAAGGACCTTTTTTTACTTAATTTGGCTTGTTGCAAATTGATGTAATGCTGTGTTCCTGAATGATTTGCAATGGTTTTAAGTACCATTAGAGCGGAGGCTTTTCAGCACGTCATTTGTTAGGAGATCAGTTCTGGAGAAGGTCCTTCAACTGGCCAGATGTGTCATTTTGGAACAGATTGAGGGCCTGCCAAAACACCATTTGTTGCCAGTTCCGGATACTGTGGGGGTGCTCACCACCCTGTTACCATATTTTTGCACGTCTTAACATTGCATAAATAGGCAGCTGTTCTGTATTTAGAATATAAATGAGTCACCAGCTTGCTCTCCCCGGAGGATTTACCTGCAAGAGGGAACCACAATGTTAACCCCTTCTCATCCCCCTGCCTGAATGTCACATTTAAATGCACACTTCTCTCAGCCCATTCAGAAGCAAATCCTTATGCATAAAAAAAATCACACCTTTCTTGCCGGTCAGACAAGAGAACCAAAAAATGTGCAATTCACCGTGCTAAAATGGAACACATTTCCTTAGCAGTGAAAGCAGTAAATTAATCAGTTTATAAACTGAGAGTGGGCAATTTGTGCTGAATTCTTTCTTACTGCTCCTTCAATAGGAGACAAGATTCTCTAAGCTCGTAAAGGGCCATGACTTCATTAAGGTGGAAAACCGTGTTAAAGGATGTGTTGTAAGAGACAAGAAAAGAAAAGCCCTAAGAGTCACTCAGTTGTCTCTCTGGAGCTATTTTCAGAACAGGGATTTTTATTTATTTGGAGAATGACAATTAACCTAGAGACTTGGCCCAACAAAAGAGCAGAGTGCTGAAGTGGCTCTCATTACAGGACACCAAAGGCAGTTGGTGTGAGCTAATCCACATTTGCAGCAGCTGATTTACATAAGAGGCTAGCACGAGCTGCCTAATTTTGATTTCAAATAGCTTGACCAATTTATATATATACATATATGTAATATGTATGTGGGTGTATCTGTATATGCATGTATGTGTATATATGTACATGCATACACCCACATGCATATACAGAATATACACATATATTCGTGTATGTGTCTTTGTTGGTTTTACCCCTAGGTATACCTAGGAAACAAACTTATCAGTGTCAGAATGTCAAAGAACAAGAAAAGTCAAGGCAGTTAGGAAAAGCAGAGGAGGTTGGGGTATATGATATATTAGCTAGTCTCAGCTACTTTTTTGAATGTTTACCCTAAAATAGACATAGTCCTTATTGACTAAATAAACCCAGCGTTCTGCAGTCTGATAGGGCCAACTCATTTCTCCAGGCTTCTCTTCTTGCCAGGGGTAGAAAAGCACACACAGATAGATAGGTGACATTTGGAGAGCCAGGCCTGCCAGATTTTTGGAGGTTACAACGGAGGTCCAACCTGCTGTTCTCTTAATGAAAGGAGGGGAAATTCAGACTGGCAAAACTGCTATAAGGGATATCTCTGCTCCCAATGTCACGCTGCCCAGATGTCGCTTGGCAGGTGGAGATGCAGAGAGAATGAAAATGTAGCCCTGTGTTTGTGGGTGCTAGTGCATTGCAAGGGTGAACAATGAGTGTCTCTTCTGAAGTGTAACGAAAACAGTGTGGATCTTGTCCATATTCATGTCATAGAAAGGGTTTTCTCAAAGAGTTCTCACCCCTCTTCCCCTCCCAGAGTGACACACATACATGTTCGTAGACCATGTGCACATGACTAGGTTCAGGTTTAAGTATAACTTGACAATTTATTTTAATGTGTTCATATATATATGTATATATGCTTTTTCTTTATAGAAAATAGGATCATACTACATAACAAAGTTTTGTACCTTGAGTTTTTATTAAATCTCAAAACTACACCATGAATATTTCTCATCTTATTTTCCTTAGATTTATCTCATTTTTTAAATCATATTCTGTAGCAAAGGTGCATGATTATACTGTCAGGCATTTTTCTGTTGATGAGCTTTGGGTTGACTCTAGAATATTTTAAGGTGGGCATGGCTATGCTCTCAGTAAATATCCTGGAAATTTTATTAGAACAAAGTAAGTAAGACTTGAAGTTACCTTTTGCAAGAGAAAGCTAAAGTTAACTGTCATTGAATTTTCTTTTACGACAATTATTTTTCTTCAGTGTTACGAGATGACTTCCGGCAAAACCCCACGGATGTTGTAGTGGCAGCAGGAGAACCTGCGATCCTAGAATGCCAGCCTCCCCGGGGACACCCAGAACCCACCATCTACTGGAAAAAAGACAAAGTTCGAATTGATGACAAGGAAGAAAGAATAAGTGTAAGTTAAAATGAATGCCTAGAGAGATTGAATATCAGATGTATTTTATTCTTTTATTTATTGTTAATAAAATTGTAGAACTGTATTTTAATGGTAATTACCATTTACGTTATATTGAAAAGATTGAAAAAGAGTAACCAAAAACAAAAACTTTGGAATTAGGCTTCAAAGAGACAAAAATTATATAAATCAAGCATACATGATATATTAATAATTGCACCAATCTGAATATGTAAATATATCTTTGCAGTATAATGTTGATGTCTTAGCTCTTTTTAGGATCTCCAAATGCATCTATTGATCTTGCAGTATGTGAGTGTTAAAGTGTAAATGATGGCCATAAACCATATTAACTAGAACATTTCTTTTTGCACTATTTTCACAATTATAAGAAGAGCTAAGTTGAGGTGATGAATATTTCAAGCACGTTTTCCAGTTTTTCCAATTTAATAATATTTATAACTAAAGTTTTATACACAAATTTGTTTAAGAGTTATAAAGTAAAATCAAAGAAAAAATGACTGGCTGTTTCTGCAGTTTAGCTCTTGGAGAAAAATAGTCTGTTTTTAAGGGAAATTGATGATCAGGTTCATCAGGTGATTAATATTCAAAATGAAACACCCAGAAAATGATAAAGAGATAGAGAAGGGGAATGGCATATGATTATTTTATTTTTTCAGAGGATCCACTCAACATTTGTATGTGAAGTTTGTAAGTGGGAATCAGTCCACTGAAAGTGTAGATAATGCCTCAACCTTCTGACATTATTCTTAGTAGAATTTATATATTCAATACAATAGTTGAGAATGAATATATTTTATTTATAAGAATGCCTCATTTAACTGAACAAATGTGCCATTTCTATCAAAAGTCCATATAGTCTGGGTGTTTATTATCTTTAAAAATATCTTGTAAGTGAAGATTTTTTTCTTATGTACATGTTGTGATTACATCATAACACAGAACCAGATAGGCCATGTAAGAGATCACAACACCTATTTATACAATTCTGTCTTGAACTGCGAGGATCTACACTGCCAAGCAGAATTTGGTTTCCAATGGTCTGTGCTTGGGTACCAAAATTATGAAAAAGTGCTCCTGGTGATGGACTAAAGTCAACGTTCAAGGGTTTCTAGTTCATATTTGTATCATCTAGCTTTTACTTTGTAACAAACTATCCCAAAATACAGTCCCTTATAATAACCATTTTATTTAGACTGTTCTTCTGTGGGTGAGGTGACAGTTCTTCACTCTGGGCCAGCTGGGCTGATCTTTGCTAGGCTTTCTCATGCTTCTGTGGCTTCTTTAAAAGTGTGCTTGCAGTTGGATGATCTAGGATTACCTTCCTCACATGTCTGGCAATTGACTGACTCTCAGTTGGGCATCTTGTTTCTTTCCCTCATGGCCTATAATTTTCCAGCAGGCTAGCTTTGGCTGGTTCCCATGGTGGTCTCAGGGTTCCAACGGCAGCAAGAGAGGGCAAGTCCCAACGTGTGAGCACCTTTTTTCCGGTGAAACATTGCTTTAGTTCCATTGGTCAACTCAAATCATATTGTCAAACTCAGCATCAGGAGGAGGAGAAATGGCCTCCAGGGTCATTTTTATAACCTACCGTCCACCATGCTCTACTGCATATAATTGAGAACAGGTTGTTGGTCTTTTCTTCCCATGTTAAAAAAAAAAAGTTGAAAATCCCTTTCTACGACATGACAAGTTTTAGAGCCTGAAATATCTCTGATGAGAACATACTTACATGAGTTTTGTTTGGCTATGAAACATGAAATTAAAAATTAACAGAAGAAACCAGCATGTTCTTATCTCATATCTCTTTAAGAACACTCAATCATTGTAAAGTTAAGATTGTTGAATTAGATAAATACCAAAAAAAACCCCAAAATTGGAAAAGAAGCTGTGAGTTGATGATACACTTACTGAAAACTTAATTCTGCTTTAATGCCCTCTTTAACATACACATCTTTTAACATTATTACATTTGTTTATTCAGTCAATAAATGCTTCTAACTTAAGAAACATTTAGGGAGCATTTAATAGAAGCCAACAATTTGTACCAACTCATTCGCATTATTTAAAAAATTTTATTTGTTTTTGTCCAACCTGCCCTCCTCTTCAAAAATTATCTCATGAATACAATTAAGATGAGATAAAGATAATTAATCTAGCAATTGAAATGTAAGCTCCACAAAGGCAGAGATTTTTATTATTTGTTTTGCTACTGAATCTCAAGTGCCTGGAACACTGCCCAGCCCACTGCCTAGTTACTCAATAAATACTTGTAGAATCTCTCTGAGTCGGTGGGATTTCTTTATATTATCCAAAGCAGATATCTCCTGCTCCTTTCTGACTACAAATGTCAATAGCAGTTCATTCAACAGAATGTCAGAGTGAAGACCAACCACTGGGATTTAATGAGGGGCAGTCACAAGACTCCAAATAGGACCAGGAGAGAGAGGAAGACTGCCTTAAAGAGCATTCTCTAGAAAGGAAATATGGAGGCTTATATTGAGAGAGAATTTAAGAGAAGAAAAGACGTAAGCAGATGCCAAAATAGTGGGAGAGTTTTGTCTCTTAAGCACTCTGCTATTTCCTTTAGGAAAAAAATTGGGGGCTTAAAATTTTTAAATTATTTATTAATGACTTTTCCTGTTTCTTTTCTTTCCTTTTTTTGTTTTTTAATTTTAACAGATTCGTGGTGGAAAACTGATGATCTCCAATACCAGGAAAAGTGATGCAGGGATGTATACATGTGTTGGCACCAATATGGTGGGAGAAAGAGACAGTGATCCAGCAGAGCTGACTGTCTTTGGTAAAACTCTTTTTTAAATTATTATTTGCTATTTATATCTACTTTTCCTTTGCTTTTAAATATATTTGTTAATACTGAACACCAGGGCATATTGGATAGTTACTTATGACTTGCGGTGAGCAGTGACAGCTTGAAATTGTTTTGTTTCTGTCTTTCAGATGAACTCTTAGATGTGAAGAAAAATAAAACTTTTGAAACATTAATTCACCAACTTTATTCGTATATTTATAGGATTTTGCCTTTCATCAGAATGTAAAAAATTGCTCTTTCTCAAAATCTATTTGAGATATTTTATCTGTCTAAAGTTTATCACTCATTCCACTGTGCTGCATTTATGAAGTATCTGTTATGTGCAAGACACAGATAAGTTTTTTAAAGATTAGAAGGTTCAGTGCAAAGACATTTCACTTGTTTTCTACTTTTAAAAATTTCAATTTGAGGTATTCGCAGTTTTAGCTCATGATAAAAAGAGTATCTAGCTGGCTATACACACACACAATCAAAATTAGAAAAAATAAATAAATATTTTGTTATAATATTCGTGTTTCTTCAACTTTAAGAACTAAGGGGCTCTTCGGCTGGAGTAGTTCAATTAATAAGTTAAAACCTAATTAAATCTGTATCACAGAAATATAGGAGAAAGCATTAAGAAGGAGAAAATTTGGGATAATAAAGATGGCAGAGTAACAAAAGTAAGGAATGTACTACGGGGCAGCTGTGGAAAATTGAAAGAGAAATAAAATGACAGAAACTTTGGGAAAACAGGATGCTAAAGATAATGGAAAATGAAATATTCCCTTAGAAGGGAATGAAGTTCCATTCAAGTGTCTGTATGAAGACATATATTATATATACACACACACATCTACACACACATGTGTATATATCTATCTACATATTTATGAGATGTCTATCCATATCTTAATAAAAGATTTCACTATTACAGATATTAAGTTTTTTTTTTAAGTACAAGAGATAATTGTGATTTTTAAATTACTTTTTTGTGCCAGTAAAATAATCTTCTGGTTCTATGCGTGATATGGTAGGATCCTGTTACTGGTCATTACTCCAGAACACCCCCAAGGGTAACATCGGAATCCTGCATACATCCCTAAAGAAGCTTCTTTTGCAATTTGCAGAAAGAGCCTTATTTTGATTTCTATTACATTTAGAGCATTAAGGTGTCCTTTATGAATATGTCCCAGAGTGCAGGCCTCTCTTTTCAATCACTCTGAGTACTGAGTAATGTCTGGCAATACTCCTTGTGGGTACTAAGCAGCTTGAAGTCCCAAATGACTTCAAGCTGAAGGAGAAATCCGGCAATTCATTAAAGAAATTGAATAGTAAAAATAAAATTGTTCACAATATGCAAGTGAATTTCTGTCCTGCAGAGCTCAGACAAGTATCAGTTTGCCCTTAAATTTCATGCAGTCATCTATAAGAGTCTCAAAATGTGCTTCACTCTATAATGAATAAAATACAGTTTTGCATGGTAAGATATGAAATTAGTGGTCACTGAACATTAGCGTTGAAAACCCACAAGTACATCTATTCTATTTAAAGGAACACTCATCGCTCTTTTTCTGTAACTGCCTCGAGCTTTGGAACAGAAAAATGTTGCATTACAGCGGTATATACTGCCTTCAGAAGGAAATTGAAAGGGTTTAATGTCATTACCCAAGCAATTAGACTTACCAACATATGACTGTGTTATGAAATATTTACCCTACTTTTCCTACAGACATGATGGGAACTACAGGAGATCCCTAAACATCTCAGGAGTTACAGGGGAACTTCTAAATTATTTTGAAAATAGCTATAAACCAAAGAGATTGAATTTGTCTAGAGGCAGTTCCTCTGGACAAATTGATTTTGGAAGCTGAGAAACGTTTATCTGATGGCGTAAACTAGTCAGAACTGACCTAGGGGGTTATAAATACAATACTAAGTTGAGGGAAAAACTAAAATTCCATTATTGATAGGAAAACAACATCCAAACCCAGAAATAAAACATAATAACAGTAGTGATGGTCCAAATCAAGGATGTGACAAGTATTTCATGAGAGACACCCCTTCTGTACCTTGATTTCCCAATTCTTAGAGAAAATAAAATAACAAGTGTGCTATGTATAATGAAGCCTTCTTTATTTTGTTTTGGTACTCTTGCATTCAGTACATGTTTTCTAATAAATCTCTTTATATTTCATCATTGTTAGATATTATCATTTCTGACCTAAGGTTTATAAAAGTAAAACTGGTTATATTTTACCCCTTCTCCCTCTCAATTTCATTTTCATGTAGCAGCAATTCTGCTTTAAAAAATCTGGCTGCTATAACCACTCTGTAGCTCCAGAAAGTTTTTAAATGTCCTTTGTGACTCAATATTTACTTTAAGATATGTTATATAGAAAAAGTCATTGATGATATTTAATTGTTCAAAAAATATAATTCACTAATAAATGGCAAGAAAAGCAATGAAAGGAATAAAGGGTCTTTGCCAATACAGTAGCCATCTGCAAGTATTTTGAGGTTTTGGTAAGTGGGCTTGGACTTGGAAGATTTTTAGTTTGAAAATTGCAACTTATATTTTAAAAATCTGCCCTTTAGACAAAGACATGATCAGTGTAACTCAATGTTCAAAATGTTACTGTACCATATTCCATGAATCATTTATTCTGTTTGTTTTTCTTTAATATTTGCTGGCCATAAAATAACATCCTAGTGAAGTGGGCAATACCAAATCTAAAAATTAGAAATAAACCTCATAGTGTAAATAGACACTAAAATCTATGGCATAGCCTAGATGCCTTTGTGAAGAATACTCTCAAGCACTTCACATAAGTTCATTAAGTTCTAAAGATCCTGAAGACAGAGAAACTAAAGTTAAATCACATAATTAAATTTCTAATCGTGGGTAGCTTTGGAATATCTGTTATTCAAAATTCATCTGTCATTAAAAAGATCAAAAATAACATGAATTGGGGCCAGCCCCATTGCATAGTGGTTAAGTTAGGTGTGCTCCGCTTCGGCAGCCTGGGGTTCGCGGGTTCAGATCCTGGGTGTGGACCTACACCACACATCAGCCATGCTGTGGTGACGTCCCACATACAAAACTAGAGAAAGATTGGCACAGTTGTTAGCTCAGAGCTAATCTTTCTCAAGCAAAAAAAGAGGAAGATTGGCAACAGATGTTAGCTCAGAGTGAATCTTCCTTACCAAAAAAAAAATACCATGAATTTTTTTCCAAATGATTTTTAAATGTTTATTGAGGTAATACATGAAAAAGGATTTTATATGTTATATTTCTAATAGACATTAGAAGTATTACAAAACTTATAATGAAATACAGAAATATCTTTCCTCCACCCCTCCTCCCAACACACAAACACACACACATTCCTCATCTTTGAACATTCCTGCAAGCCTGTTCTATCTTTTTCTTCTGGGATTTATTTTCATATTTCTTAATATGTGCTACTTCTGCAATTTTATACACTATTTTGATTTCCTATTTTGGAAGATGATTATTTGGCCGACTTACAACTTTTTTCTTACCTTCTCACCTTCATTTTCCCTTTGTTTTAAATCCTTCCAGTATATTGACTTTAGAAACATTGGTTATATTAATATTCAGAATTTGAGTTATTATAACCATGTAAATATTGACTAGTATGATGGCATTTCTTTTCTGGCACTATATTTGTGCTTCCTTAAATTAAAAATAAGCCCATTTTTCCTTTTATGTATGTTTGTCTACACCTGTCATGAATTCTCTTGAAATCTCTAACAGAAGGTTTAAAGTCCTCTAATGCTATTTAGTTATTAAGCCCAGCCTTGCTACAGCCTTCCTGGAGGCCTCAGACCTCCTGCCCAATCTGACTGGGCTGGATGCTGTTTAGATCTACTCCAGAAATTTTATCCTGATGTATATCTTCCCTTTTCTCTGATGCTGGATTCCCTGTTTTCTGCATCCTGTATTTGTTCTTTTCTTGGTTCACTCCTATGTTTAGAACAGTGTCTCTCTCCTGCTTTCTGCTTGACTGGAGCCTAGAACACATTCCAGACCAAAATGCCCTTTTCTATCCAAAACTTAACTGATACATTGATTGGTTATAGAATTCTAGTTTAAAAAAATATTTTGGCTCAAAATATTAAAGTCACCACTCCAGTATCATTTAGCTTCCACTGTTGCTCTTGATAAGTCTATTGTGCTTCTAATCCCTATGTGATTAGTTTTCTGTTTTCTCTTTCCAAACTTTTAGTCCTGTCTCTTTATCCCAGTGTTCTGAAATGTTTCAATACTCTGCCTTGGCTTGGCACGTTTTTCTTTTACTGGTTGGACACTTGGTGAGCAATCCCAATCTAAAACCTCCCTCTCCAAATAAGTCAATGAAATATCCTGTCCGTTTTTTTTGTTCCGTTTCTCTGTCAAACATGTATTCATTAATTAGATGTTAAACCTCCTAGATCTTTGTTTTCTCTAATTCTTCCTTATTTATAGCATCCTGTTCTTGTTTCATGGATGTTTTAACTTCTCTTCTATCTCAGGATTTTAATAACACTCATTTTTTTTTTTAATAAACTTTTCTTGTGATGCTTCCTTGCTTTTATTTCTTCTGGGTTTGTTTCCCTCTCTTCCCCACATCATTTTGTCTTCTACACTGGAGGCTTTCTTCAAATGGCAGGTGATCTATTGTTGTTCACTCATATTTAATAGCTCTTCACTAAAAAGACTATTGGAAACTCTGTGTCAACTGATGCTTTCACGGTAGGATAATCTGATTGGGAACTAGCCATTTTGTTGGGGATGAGGACAGAGGTTGGGGCTGGTGATGTTGATTTTCAGTTGTTGGATGAGAGATAATAGTTGATGGCCTAAGTGTAGTTGTGATACCCAGAGACAAAGCTATGAGGGAAGATATCTCAGAACCAAACCTTAGGAAACACCTAAGTTTTATTGATAACTTGTAGCCTTGAATTCCATTCTTAAATGGAATTCA